AACATGCCTCTGGCAGTGTGGAGAACGTATTTTTATAGGAAAGGGCCAAGAGAACACGTAACCTGGACGTTCACTTAAGGCAACCACTCCAAAGTATACTGATCTCAAGATAAATAAGTCATAACCCAGATAACTAAAAGAAAAATGAAGATGGGAAGGAAAGGGCCAAAATGAAGAACACTGGATCTAAATGGAAGGTGATAATAAAAATGCCAAATGGAATTCCTTGAGGGGGGCCAGCGAGAAAGCTCAGTGGTCTAAGGTGCCTGCTTAGGCAAGCTTCGGCAGGCACAGGGGACCACAGTTAGATCCCCAGCACCACATGCCGTGCCGCCCTCTGGGTGGACTGAGCTGGCCAAAAGCAAAAGAAAGGAAATCTTTGAGGAAAATAGAGATAATATATCAAACTATAATTCTGGATTCAATGAGGAAGTTCAAATATCATGTCAATTTAAAAACAAAATAATCTGCCAGGTACTGTAGTAACAGTTATCACCCCGGAGCTTGGGAGATTGAGGCAGGAAGTTCAAACAACCTCAAGTGAGTAGTTGGTTCAAGCCAGGCTGAACTTATAGTCTTTACCACAAAACAACCAAAATAAACACCGAAAGGAAAATCTAATGATCACTGGAGATGATTTTAAATATCTCAAGTTTGCTATTGTGGGAACCTAGAATTTGAACAATTTTAAACAATTCAATAAAATTAATTTGTGGAAGTAAAATTTCTATGACCAATTCTTAATTGAGATCTTTTCTTTTTCCAAGTAAAATGTTAATGAGAAGAGTTCTGGAAGAAAAACAACCAAAAAAATGTGCAGTCGATTTATTTGTAGCTTTAAAGCATATTTTAATTTTTTTTAAAAATGAAATATAGCTGAAACACAGGCTTAGAACAAGAACTACCCAATCAATACAGAAAAAATTTAAAAATATTTTTAAAAAGAAACTAGGATTAATTATGTGCGCTATTTCAGAAAAATCAGAGTCTAAGAGAATATAAACTCAGTGGGAGATGGCAGGGAGGTGTGCACTGTTAAGTTTCCAGATTGGAAAAGAATGGACAAGCCAAGACATATTTTTGTCTTTTTTTTTTTTTTTTACCAGAAATCAAACTGAAGAGCTCGTGCTTGCCAGGCAGGCACTGGGTCACTGAGCTATCTTCCCAGCCCCATCAAAAATCTTTCCAGAGTCAATGATAAAGCACAGGTTAATTTCTGGCTTCTGGGAATTAAATAGAGGGATTAGAAAGCCACACAGAATATTGAAGTTATTAATGAGGAAAAGAAAGGAGCAAATATTGACCACATCAGAAAAGAATACAAGGGTAAAATAGCAGTATGGTAAATAGGAAATATACTTCCAAGGATAACTTTATTATGGTAAATGTGAGTAGGCTGAATTTTTTTATTAAAAAACAGGAAAATTTGAGTATGTGTGAACAGGATCAAATAGTGTACTGCCTACAGAAAACACATACAAAGTAGCTCCAAAACATCCTGAAAAAAATTTTTTTGTTTTATATATAGAGAAACTATATATATATATATATATATATATATATATATATATATATATATATATATATATATATATATGTATAATTTTTTGGATGCATATACATAGATATACTCATTTGAGGAAAATTTTTACTGAAGAGTATAGAGTGATACAATCTTAATCCAGAAAGAATGGCTATCATCAAGAAATTAAATAAGAGCAAATGCTGGTGAGAATATGGCAGAAAAAGGAACTCTTCTACATTGTTGGTAGGAATGGACAATAAATTATACAACCACCATGGAAATCAGTGTGGAGATTCCTCACAAGCTAAAATAAGAAATCCCACTTGACCCGTTGCCCTTCTAGGTATCTTCTAGGCAAAAGAGTTAAAATTGGCATATTACTGGGACACGTGAATACTCATGTTCATATCATCACAGTTTATAATGGTCGCGTCTTGAAAAGGGCCTCTCTCCCCCTCAACAGGAAGTGGACAAAATGTGGCATTTATATCAAAGGAGCACTAGGAACACTACCGTGCCGTAAAAAGAGGCGTGCATGGGCGAGTCCTGCAACACGAGACCATAATAATACATTCTTAACACATTCGTGTGTGTGTGTGTGTGTGTGTGTGTGTGTGTGTGTGTAGAGAGAGTGAGAGGGAGAGAATAAAATAAAAGGGACAAAAATGACACAAAGTAGAGATACGTTTTTCAGATGGATGGAGGAACAAGACATGGAGGGAGACGGGGCTGGATACAAAAACTAAAGGAGAAAAGTGCAAAACACGGAGCTTTTGCAAATGGGGAGGGGCCCGAGCTGGAAGAAGCGGGCGGGGAGGGGCCAAGTGGGCAGGAGAGGAGGCCCAGGAGGAACCGGGGTGTCGTGCGCAGGCCCCGACCGCGTGACCATGTGACGTTGTGCACTGCGAGCATGAACTGCTAAGAAAAAGTTACAACTTCTAAAAACGAATTTTTAGAAGAAGGAAAATATACAGAATGTAGTCCAGCTAAATAGAAAAACATGTTTTTGGATATGAAAACTGTATTTTATTCTCCTGAAAGTTTTATTGTATATGTGAAAAGCAATTTTCTTTATTTTTAAGAGGAAAAAAATTAAAGAATATAATAGGAACAAAGAAAAAAATAAATCACACAGAACAATAAAAATGGTACAGAATGTCAAAACAAGAATAGAAACTTAACAATGGTTGTTATATTATTTATTGTCATCAAATTTGTTACTCAGATTGCCAGATATAGCCTTCATTTTTTCCTGTCCTCTTTGCTTTTTATTTTTTTAATTTATTTTAAAGAGAGTATGAAAAGTGAATTTAAAAACTATAAAGCTGCAGATAGACATATCTGAACATGAGAAATAGACAGTGTGTATATAACCAATAAACCAAAGCTAAAAACGACACTATTGACTGGGAGAAATTTTATTTGCTGTAGATATTTCAGACGAAGATTAATGTCTTCAATATCAACAACACTGGAAACTGGTAAGAAAGACCATGTAACACCATGAAATATTGGCAAGGTTATGAAAAACAAAGTGCATTATTTTAAAGAGAAATTAAATCTAAGCTATCAATACTGAGTAGCAGTTAAGTTTGACTGTACTAGTGTTACTGCAGATTTGGGGCGTGGGTAATTTTTCTACATTCCTGGAAGGCAAATGATTTTTATAAATATTTTGAAGGTGATCTCTTAATACTTTCTCAACTTTGAAACACACATATTGGGTTTTGTCCCAGCACTGTCTAATCTGGAAATCTACTCTTAGACAAAAAACAAAACTCAGAAAGTTTTAATATGGAGAGGATGTTTGTTACAGCCTTGTATCTGAATTAGGAAAACGTTGGCTCATGTCTGGCAATTCCTTCCAGTAGCACCGGAATGAACTAGTAGGGAGAATGTTGAGCTAAACAAGTGGTGATCAGTAGGGGAATTGTGCAGCAGGTGGGAAGGCTGAGTGGGACTTTAATCCTGCAGTCTGAAGGGACAGGAATGATTGCCAATGAGAAAAAAAGGCTATGGAATGTCACGTAAGGTACAGGCCCATTTGTGTGATTGCACCAGGTTGGACAAGGGTGGAGACACTGGTATAGTCAAAGACATGAAAGGGGACCATCTGAGGAAACTGAGAAAAGATCTTTAACAATCTTTTCCTGCGTACTAAAGGCTATCTCCAAGTATCCAGCAGAAAAGTATAAAAACGAAGTATAAAAACTAAAGCCATATTAATACGCTGAGCTACAAAAGGCTCAAGTCAACAACTTCTGACATTGCCAGTCTTATGAAAAACTCACTACTATTATGGACTACTGGACTATATTGGAATATTTTGCTGAATTCATGCACCTACAATATTTAAATGATAATGGAATGCCCTTCTCTGACAAAACTAAACAAAAAAGGTGATACAAATGAATGACCATTTTATATTTGTATATTCAAAATAGATAGCATAGCTATACAGCTGCATTCTCTTAATTCAATGAATAGAGAGATTTGTTCTAATAGTGTTTGTGGACAGGCTATCATGTCTGCATCTTGTACAATGAATAACCACTAAGACAATATGCAATGTACTAATTATTGAAATTGTGCTAGTAATTGGTTTTGAAACTGTCTCATTGCTATTTGTTTCTCAATAAAATTATTTTTTTTAAGCATTATTGCCTTCTAGTGGTTTTTAGAAGATAAATGCCTACTAAAAATAAAAGGCAGCTAGGGTCCTGCAAGATAGCTCAGCAGAATAAGTGCCTGCTGAGGCAAGCTTAGGCAAGTGCAGGGACATGGTTTGCACCACATGCCATGCCAGCCCTGTCCTCAGGAAGGGCTGAGCTGGCCAGAGTTCTGCCATAGTGGTGCATGCCTGTAATCCCAGTGCTGGGGAGACTGAAGGATCCAGGAGGATCACCACGAGTCCGAGCTGCATAATGAGACCCTGGAACAACCAAATACATTTTTAAAAAATGTGAAAGGCAGCTAGAATCTATAAAAATGATAAACTTGAGAAGTAAGACTGAAGTCCTCCTCATATCTAAATTAACCATCTGCATAGGTTCTACAGGCCTGCTTCTCAAAGTACAGTAATTAAAACTTCATTTTTCTCCACATTTGCCAAGTATTAGCAGAACAAAGTACATTCTGATATTAAATACTGGTTAGGAAAGGGAAAGAAAGTCCTCTTTAATCTCTGTCTTCCAATAAATCATGTGTTATCATCTAAGAGGGCTTTATGTTAACAAATCCCAACATTCACCCATATGTTCTTTGATTAGAAATTAATCTCACATTACACATTTTAACACCAGTTACAGCCTTCATCATGAAATGAAAATTCATATAACAGGTAAAAAAAAACACTACCTTTATTATGTGCATTTTATGATATTGCTATAAATATTGTTATAATTCCTGTGCTGATAAATGTATGAATCTTAAAAACTGCTTTGGGTTTCATCCCCATGGATTTCTGTCCCTCTAGGTGGCTTTCACAGTCCTTTTTGACTTGGAAGCACTTCTAAAGATCTGGTCTTTGGGCTTTACTGGATACATTAGCTCATCTCTCCACAAGTTCGAGCTGCTTCTTGTTGTTGGAACGACCCTTCACGTGTACCCGGACCTTTATCACTCCCAATTCACATACTTCCAGGTAACGTACATTATGCTTATGTTGCCTCTAGAATTTTTTTTTATTCCAGGATAAATGATAGTCACATTACTATAACATCTGTAAATACATTATATAATATCTATAGTAAATATCAGTTCATGGCCTTAACTTCCCAGTGACATTTTTAATAGTAGAAACATCACATTCACAAATTGAGACAGTTGTTCTTAAAACTTGAAAATTTATAGTAATGTATGCAGATGTTTGGCATTCTGCTCCCAAATTAGCAGAAATACGTATTTATATGCATATGGATGTAATATATCTATACATACATAGCACATTTTGAAGTACATGAGCTCTTGGCATGAACTTAAAGAAGAGGAAATATGAATTTAATTACAAGTGCATATCTGCCTTGTAAAGGTCTTTGTTCAACAATGGCTTACAATAGAAATAATCAGAATTTATAAGTCATTTACAGAATTTAATTAGACATTTTATTGTTTATAAATGCTTATTTCTTTTCTTTGTGATGATCGTATAGTAGTATTTATAATTCCTTTTTCATAATAATTGGATATATTTTTTCAAATGTGTATGTTATATCATATTACTTTATAATTTTAATAATTATAATCACATTCTTTGTGATCATTAGGTTATAGCAATATCCTCATTGTTCTGTTAAATTCTTAGTAAAAGGATAAAATGAGGATATGTAATACGCTAGTTAAAAGGGACTAAATATAGTCATGACTTAAATTTTGGCATTTGTATATTATTTTTCATGGACACACAAGAATATGCATTTTTCTCGGGAAGCACTTTATGTTTAAATAGTTGGGAAAGATAATGATAGGAGAAATTTTAAATAAAAATTTACAGAAATGTTGCTCCAAATCTTTACAAGAAAGAAAATGCATTCCAATTTCACTGATTTTATTTGTTGGTAGAAGGCAAGCTATTGTTTTAGAACAATTCTCTGTTTAGCTGTCCCGCCTGCACAGGGGCATGGGGCCAGAAGAAACCTAATGCGCAGGAATGGAAAAGCTCTCCCATGCCCAAGCCCCTAGTCTTCACAGCAAGCGCACTGAAACCATAGAGGATGCTCCTGATTCAATTAACTTCATTTCCCTGAGCATCTTTGGAGACAAATCCCTTGTCCTTTGAGGGGTTACAGCCTGCAGTATGGTTTCCTCTTGTGAGATGAGGGCTGCAGAGTTAGGAGTGTTTAAAATTCCAGTACAAAAATGTCTGTGCTCTGAGCTGTTTTGTACACTGCTGTGTGGGGTCACAGAACTCACACAAGTACTTTGTACCCACCCCGTGGCATCATGGTGTAGAATTATAGAGGTTATATCTAAAGATCAGAATGATGAAATATCTATTTATAAGCCTATTAAACTGGACAAATTAGGACAACTCTGGAGGCCATAGTGGAAAGTGAAATAAGTCAGAAGCAGAAAGTTGAATATTGCATGAATATTACATGAGAAATGCAAACTAGGACAGATGTTCAGAGCAAAGCAAAGGAAGGAGGGAAAGTGGGGTGGAGAGGAGAGGAGTGAAAGGATCAGAAATAGAAAATGATCAAGATATGATTTTCCAGCATCATTTATTAAAGAGGCTATCTTTGGTCCAGTGAACCTGCTTGGCCCTTTGTCAAAGACGAGGTGGCTGAGAGCGTCTGGAAGTGTCGCTGCATCTTCTAATCTGTTCTGTTGATTCTCAGGTCTGCTTCTCATTAGTACCATGCTGATTTCATCACAGTAGCTTTGTAGTATAACTTCAAGTCAGGAATTGCAATGCCCCCTGCCTTTTCTTTGTTGCCCAAGATTGCTTTTGCTATTCTAGATCTCTTCTGAGTCCAGATGAATTTCAGGAATGTTTTCTCTAGATCGGTGAGGTACACTAGTGGCATTTAATTTGGGATTGAATTGAATCAGTATAACAATTTTGGGAATATGGCCATTTTCACATTGTTGGTTCTTTCTATCCACAAACAAGGAACATTTTTTTCATTTTCTGAAATCCTCTTTGATCTCTTTATTCAGAGTACTGTAATTTTAACTGTACAAATCTTTTACTTCCTTTGTTAGACTGATCCTTTCGCATTTTATTTTTTTGAATGTTACTGTGAAAGGAGTTTTTCTAATTTCTCTCTCCTTGTGTTCCTTGTTTATGTACAGAAATGCTGTTGATTTTTGAGTGCTAACTCATACTCTGCTATGCTACTGAATATGGTTATTAAATCTACAAGACTCTTGGTGAAGTTTTTGGGGTCGTCTATGTAGAATATCAAGTCATTTGCAAATTATGGTACTGGAAAAAATGACTTTCCACATGACAGAAGCTAAAATAGGTGAAATAAATCAGACCCACATGTGCAAACATTGTATTGTCTCCCTAGTATAAGAACTTAGAATTTTAAAGAATAATTAAAATTTTCATAGGGGCTGACCAGATAGCTCAGCAGATTAAAGCGCCTGCTTAGGTAGACACTGAGACCAAGGTTTAATTCCCAGTGTACCGTGCTGGCCCTGCTCCCAGTGCATGCTGAGAAGGTGACTGAGACTGGGCGTGATGGTGCAGCCCCTGGAATCTCAGTGCTTGGGAGGCTGAAAATAGGAGGATAGCTAGAGTCCAATCTGTGTAGTGAGAACCTGTAGACCCTGTACTAAATACATTTTTTTTAAAAATTGAATAGCACAATAGATACTATGAAAGGAAAAGAATCAGTTCAAAGAGAAGGAAAAACTGGGATGGGAAAAATGACAGAATAAAGAAGGAAGGGAAAGACAGATATTTATGTATATATGCAGGATAGCTTAGATAATTGTACTGCTAATTTCTGTTGGTCTACAGAAAAGAACAGTTAATGCATAAATATTTTTTCATGTCTTTTTTAATTTATTATTTTTTAACCAATTTTTCATGCTTATATCTGGTAATCTAAACAACTAATTTAAAGACAATGGTATGCAATATAACCATTGTCCAAATAAAAAAGATATGATGTACGTGTACCAATCCCCCCAAATGAAGGAGCCTATTGTGTATCACACATTGAAAGGAAAAAAGAAAAATACTTTTCCCCAGTTAGCAACTGTATAGTTTAAAATGTATCCAGGGCCTTAAAAGTTCAGTAGTACTTGGCAAATAATTTTCCAGTGAAGAATTCAAATACTGTAATCAAAAATTTAAGTGCAAAAATACTCATTATAGAGTAGAGAAAAAAAAAATGGGAACTGTTTAAATGCTAAATAGTCAGGGAATAGCTTAGTAAATCAGAATGCAAATCTTACTATATGAAATGATGATTATGATGAATTTATAATAACTTAAAATTAGGATCATCTTTTATCTAAATATAAGGCAGCATAAATTTATATAACATATATGTGTACATGTATACATATATTATATGTAAGATACTTGAAAATAGAAAAATGACTGTGAAAACAGCTTATTATAAATGATTCATCATCTTTGACTTTTTTCTTCTAGATTTTTCACAAACTATATAAAATTAGTTTGTGTCATTCTAGTCTTTTTATGGATAATAGATACATTCAGATGATGGTAAAATCTATTATTTTTGTGAATGCCATTCTGGATTATAATTTGTAATGTTTTAATTTATGCTAATTAAGTGATTTTAGGTTTATGTATAACCATATTTATATTTTTCTAGTGAAATAAATTAAAATGAACACTTTTATTTTATGGCTAAAATTAGGGGTTTTGGAGTCACAGGTGGAAAACCTAGTCAGCCACACAGATAGGCTCTTTGGAGGCCAAGTTTGTTCCTCGCTGACCCTTGGACTTTGCATTCTCCCAGGCTTTCTTCATTGTGTTGGAGCATGTCTTTCCTTATCATTTCATATTTCATATCTTTCGTATTTTAAGCCAACTGTTTAGTACAATTATCAGGCTGACCAGATAGCTCAGCAGATTTAAGCACCTGCTTAGGCAGATGAAGAGATCAGGGTTCGATCCCTGGGTTGCCATGCCAGCCCTGGCCCCGAGGTGCACTGAGACGCTATTGAGACTAGGCGTGATGACACACGGCTGTAATCCCAGCACTTGGGAGACTGAACCCAGACAAATCACTACAAGTCCAATCTACATAGTGAGACCCTGTACTCCCTGTAGACCCTGGATTCCCGGCCAGGCTTGTGCCATGGAGTTTGGCAAGTTCCTTCTAGACTTCATGAACAAGAATAAAATAGGAATAATTTATCAAAAGAAAATCAGGAAGAGTTGCAAAACCAGGACACTAGAAAAGCAAACACAAATTTATGTTATTGTACACAAAGAAAAGTTAAAACCTAGTTGCTTCCATGTATTTCTTATTCTTTGGGGTGTCCGATAAACAGTATTCATCTTCCATAGACAGCCTGACTTCCCACGTGTATCGAAGCTTTGAAACTACCATTCTAAGCACCACATTTTATTGATGCCACAATCCTCATGTTCTCACAGAATAATTCTGAATTTGGAATATGTCTTACAATCAGTGGTGTTGTGTACTTTAATGTGCAGTAGTTTTTAATTTTTACAGATACAGAAAAAGCTGATGGCATTCTTATTAGACAATGGTGTAATTCTTTGCCATATACTTCAGCTTTTACTTAAGTAACAATTTATAACTTTTAAGAAAGTAAGTATTCCCTTAAAAGCTGTATGTATGTTATGCTTCTTTTTTATAACAGTAACCATTGAATCACTTGATATTTGACACATAATCAGTGTTTGTTAAATAAATGAGTGGATTAATTAACTGTCTCTAAGTTGGTGGGCTCTTTGCAAAAACATATATGTTCAACTTGTAAATAAGTGTGTACTATTACTTATAATATCCACGTGTAGAGTACAAATAACAAGTAGAGCTAGCAATGTTCTAAACCTGCAAATCTTGCAGAAGTAAGAAGCCTGTTGTTCTCCAGTAGTTGTTTGGTGTCCAGGAAAAGAAGGAAGCCAGACTTCTGGATTCAATCAGACCCGTTATAGTCTTTGCAAGGCTTCTCTTTCTAACCCAAAGGTCCCACTCCAGTTGTCTCCATTTCTAGGCCAGAAAAATAGATAGCAAGTGGATGCAGCCAAGTGGAGCGCAGTGCGCCAACACCTGCACAAAGCACGTTTTCCATATCCACTGAGTCTGAGCCTACAGCTCAGCACACCCAGGGCAGAGGGTGGGCGCAAAGGCTGGAAGGCCTTTCATAGCCACTGACTAAGCTAAAATTCAGGAAGTTGTATTCCTTAAAGGAAGAAGGAGGAAATAAACATTGGTTCAAGTCTCAGCCAGAAGTAAAGTCCTTAATAGAAATTTGATTTTTTCCGTATCTTTCTGATATATCTTCACATATCTCTATGTAACATCTAGGAAAATTTAGAAGACACTAAATATATCTAATACTGAATTAAGGTCTTTCTTAGATATTGGAGCAATAGAAAAAGTCTGTTTTAATTCCAGCGTGATTGGGCCATTGAATTCAAGCATGGTTGAACCATTACTGTAATCCCAACTGCTTGGAAGACTGAGGCTAAAAAATTTAAATTCATGCCCCTCCCAAAACCCAAATTTAATTAATTAATTAATTCAAGCCTAGTTTAAATTCAAGCCTATCCAGGCTGATTAGGAATATATCATTAAAAAACAGGGAAAAGAAGCAGAAAGTCAGTTTTATTTCAATGGCATGTACTAGCTAATACCATTCTGAATGATTGCACTGTGGGCTAAATTGCCTAGTGACCAACATTTCTTAGTCATTCCCTAATTTCTTGTGTTCTTCCTGGCAAGCGCCCAGCTAGCTAGATGATTCAACGGTCACATTATTATTTTCAGTCTCTATATGCTTGAGTGGAAAAGTACGATTTTTACAAAGTGCTATGAAAGTGATGTTTTAAGACGGGCCACTTTAAGGTTTAGTATAAATAATCACTCAGATTTGTTTTCCCTCTCATGACAGGTTCTTCGTGTGGTTCGACTTATTAAGATTTCACCTGCATTAGAAGATTTTGTGTATAAGATATTCGGCCCTGGAAAAAAGCTGGGAAGCTTGGTTGTGTTTACTGCCAGCCTCTTGATTGTCATGTCAGCGATTAGCTTACAGATGTTCTGCTTTGTGGAAGAACTGGACAGATTTACAACCTTTCCAAGGGTAAGAATTAAAAATTCAGTCAGTTTTATTCACTATTCATATTTTAGTAATAAATGATTAATATTGAATAATTCCACTGTAGCCATGGTTCAAAAATATTGTTGGATTTTTAATCATGAGAGATAATTAATTTTTAGTATTTAAAATAATCTGCAGGGACATGTGTTTGAGTCCATTTTCAGCATTCCCATATTATACATCAATTCCAAAATTCTGGAAATCATATAATTAGATGCCAAAAAACCAGTAAAAATGAAAAGTAGATTTCTTTGCCGCTGTTAGTTAAAATATGAAAGAATTTCAAAGTGAAATTTCTATTTTGTGTCTTAAAAGAGGTAACATATTTTTATCTATTTTTCCAGTTCATTTATTTTGTATCAGGCATAATCTAAAAGGTAGCTTTGGATTTTTAATATAACAAAGCTCATAAACTGTAGACTTGAAATGTGCTTAGGGAGACCAGTTCATAACTCTGCCTTCTCATTAGAATTGATTTAGGCTAAAAATGTAGTCAAAAATCAGTCAGTCCATACACCAAACTTATATAGAAAGTTTGCTCCCTAGCTGAAGGAATCTGAAGTTTAACCTTGTATGCACTTAAAAATATGAAAATATAATAAAAAATGTATATAGTGTATTTTCACAATGGGTTGAAATTGTAAGACCTATTTGTGGAAAGAATACTTTTGAAGTAAAAAAAATAGCTTTAAAATACCTTTCACTTCTTGCAGTTTTTGGGGTTTTTTTGATGCTGTATATGATATTAGGAAAAGAAAAATGGCTCACAGCCACACTGGAAATGTAGACTCTTATCCCAAAATCAGGTTAGTTCCCAGGTTTAGGCCAAAACTCTTAACTAACTGGACCTTTTTTGAAAGATAAATTGTACCATTGGAATTCTGAAAAAAAAAAAAAAAAAAGAAAAAGAAAGAAAAAAAAAGTTAAGCTTTGAAAGCAGAAAAGTCTCTACTCCTGATGAACAGACTAGTATAAGTTGGATTTTTTTTTTCATTTTGTGCTAACTTTGTTACTTTAGCTATTCCCATTGGAATTGATTCTTTTATAATACGGTCTTTATTCATACACACACACCTCTAGCCTACAAAGAACCAGGAAAATTTGATAATCTTGGAGTCGTAGTCACAACTAAGTTCCCAGTTCTCAAGAAACAGGAAATGACCAGTCAGTCTACTGGTCTTGATGGGAACAGGCAGGACGCTCTCTGGGAAGCAGGGCAAGGGCCCATCACCAGAGTGCAAAAGTACAGGAAGCTTTGCTGGAGTGGTTGGTTATTCGGAGCAGGTGGGTGTGCCCTGCAAAGTGTAAGGAATGCTGTGCCAGGCCCATGTCAGCTTGTGCGAAGGGTGGAAGATGAGCAAGTTCTTCCTCTAGAAAATGTAAAAGAGAAAGAGTGGTCATAGGTGAGCAGAAGACACCATGGAGGCCCCTGGGCTAGGAACTCAGGTGTGCTGGTGGGTGGATGGGGTGGGGCCCTGAGTCCCTGGCTGTGGCTCCCTTTGCAAAAGTGCTGGGCCCTGGCATGCACCAGGTCTGGCAAGGGGAGGGCACCAGCGAGGCTCAGTTACCTGTGGTTGGGCCTGCAGCGCACACATAGATCTTCGCCTGAAGTCAGACCTCCAAACAATATCCAACTCTTACTCCAGAGGGGGAAGGGCACCTTCTTCTCCTAGGATGGAGGAGAAGGTAGAAGCCTGCTGTCTCTGTCCACCTCTCATGCAAGAAGCAAATAGAGCCAGCGGTCATCTTTCGCCTAGTGACACTGAAATGCCTACTGTCTCAGTTACTTTTCTCTCATTGCTGGGACACATACCTGACACTCAAAATGAAGGAAGGAAAGGTTTATTTAGCTCACAGTAATTGGAGGTTTTCATCCATATTGAGCCTGCTCCAAAGCAGAGTGGTGCATGACAGAGGGCAACTTTTCATGGCGGCTGCAAAGAGCAGAGAGAGAAATGGAGGAGCAGCAGCAACAGTGGCAACAGAGAGAAGGTCTCTGTCTTTATATTGCCTTCAGGCTATCTGCCCCAGGCTGGGGGTAGCACACACATCCATAATCCCAGCAGTATTCAGACCCATAATCCTAGTGGATCATGAGTTAATCACGAACTCTAGAAGTCTATCTCATGATTGCATGAGGCAGTTGGAGAGACAACTAGACACAACCATAACATTCTTCCCCTGAACCCCCAAAGACTCATGTACATCTTTTTGTGTAAACAGCATTAGTCCATCTCTAAAAGTTGCCCAAGTCCTGACAGTTTCAGCATTGCTGAAAAGTCCAAGTCCCAAGTCTTCTTCAAGACCTAAGGCAAAATCTTTGCTATGAGCCCCTGTACACTTCCAACATTCAGTGGCACAAGACAAGCATGACCATTCCAAATGGTATACACAGCAGGATACCAAGCATTGGTACCAAAGCAAGTCCAAAATCCAGAAGGGCAAACACTCAGTCCAGTATTTTCATGTGGAACATCCAAAGCAACCCATAAAGAGTTGTGAGCTCCAAAAGACTTACATGGTGTTAGATACAAACCCACGCAATTGACCAGACCAGGCATTCTCATGTGAATTGAAAATTTATTGGGGGCATCAAGCAGATCAAGACAGCAGTGAACAAAGGGGGACAGGAGACTTTATAGGATCTTTTAGAGAGGGTGATTGTAGGCTGGAACAGCTGAGGGAGAAATAATCTTGGCAGGGCTACCTGATCTGTGGGGGACCTTTAATGTTAACAAAGGAGAGTTTTGTGGTTGCTCGCCCAGGTCAAAATCAGGTGGACCTATTCTGTGGTTTTGGGTTTGACTCTGTGTGGGGCAATGAGGGAGAGAGTTTGGGAGCAGGGTGCCTGGAAAACCAAGAGGGAGAGTGTTTGGGGGCAGGGTGCCTGGGAAACATTGAATCCTGACCTATCACATGGCTCTGCCCCTATGACATTTTTGGTGATAGCTTCCATGCCTTCTTTCTTAGGTAGTTTTGCTTGTTCTTTGCAGTTTCCTTAGATGATCCACATTTCTGGCTTTTCCAGAATTCTGGGGTCTCCATTGCATGTGAAGCTTCTCACTCTCTATTTCACACAGTGCCCTCTCAGGGGCACATTGCCTGGCCTCCTAGGCCTTCTGAAATTGAGGAGGAAGCCTTCTTAACCTCCGAATACTTGCACTCTGCCTACACCTAAAAGCAAAACCATGTGAATGATGCCCAGGTCTCCTGCCAGCTGAAGCATTAGTCAGTCTTTCTTCTCTCTTGGCTGTAGGGGGTTGAGTGCCTGGATCACTGAGCACTCTGACCCTGACTCCAAGGAATAAATTCTCCCTGCCAGTACCATTCTGGAAACCAGTGTGGCCACTGCTGACTTTCTGGAACATGGGACTCTATGGCTTTTCCTCCAACTCAAAGTCCCTGACCTTTGCAGTTCTGAGGCTGCAAAGGGTGGAGACCTGCCTCCGCCTGTGATGCCCTCAGGCCATCCTTTCCATTCTCTTGTTCCTTCCTGGTAGTGGAGATCCTCTCAGCTCTACCTTTACATTCCACAGCTTTATTGGAATTTCCTTTCTGGCCAAATTAAAAACATTTTAAATCATCCTGCTGAGCCCTTTGCTCTTGATTCTCAACATAAACAGGCTAAAATCCCCCAATAATAGCCATGCTATAGCCTCAATATTTGGCTACTTTGAAATATCTTTTTCCAGATTAATCAGTCTGCCACATTTAATCTCAGTCTTAGGCAAAGTCTCTGGACATGAGCAAAAATCAGACAAACTTTCTGCCAAGCCATAATACAAAACATCCAGAGTCCAACCAATGTAGTCCTTCCCAGTAGAAACCTCTTCAGCCTGGACTTTATAGGCTGGATTTCTATCAGAATTTTGGTCTTCTGAGCTCCGACCAGAATCTCCAATACAGACCAGTTGAAGCTGTTCTAGCACTTCTCTTGTAGGTGACATCTCCAAACATTTTCTATTTCTTTCCATAAACCATTCCAAAAATCCAGTAATCTACATGGCCAGGATTAACCACAGCAATGACCCCACTTCTCTGATACCAGATTCTGTCTCAGTTACTTTTCTCTCATTGCTGGGACAAATACCTGACACTCAAAATGAAGGAAAGAATGGTTAAATAATATAGCTCACAGTTACTGGAAGTTTCAGTCCATACTTACCTGGCTCTAAGGCAGAGTGGCACATGGCAGAGAGCAACCTTTCATGGCAGCAGCAAAGAGCAGAGAGCAAAGTGGAGAAGTAGCCGCAACAATGGAAACAGAGAGCAGATCTCTTTCCTCATTATATTCCCTGCAGGCTATTTGCCCCAGGCTGGGTCTAGCACTCACATCCATAATCCCAGTGGATCATGAGTTAATCACAAACTCTAGAAGTCCACCCTCATGTGTATGAGGCTTTGGTGGGACAACTAGACACAAACCATGACACCTACTAATGTGTTTCACCTTCATTCTGGTTTAATTCAGCATGTTTTCTCATAGGCCCACAGTTCCAGGCACAGGGGGTCTAGAAAAATGAATTAATATAATAGAATAGAATCAAGACTCAATTCTGTTTTTCATTTACTGTCTTCAGCTTTCATATCTACATCTTTTATGACTTCCTTTTATCTCACCTCACTGATTATGCATCCCTTACTCAAAACCTCTTTGCACCAGGTGGCTTAAGTACACCACTCTCCACATATTAGGAAGGTAATGTCACCCCCAGAGCCATAGGAATTGGTGCTCCTAGAGTCACAATGTAGTCAACAAACACTTTAATGTTTCTGTATCAAAACACTAACCTTCAGATCAGATTTTGCCACTAAGTAAACTACAAATGTAGTCTTTAAATTCTTTTACAAATTTTCCATTTTGGACTTGTGGATAGGGCTGAGGGCAATGCCCACTTACAGTTCCCACTTCTCGCCACAAAGGTCTGATTTTACCTCCCTGCTCCATTGCTTGTTTAGCAGTGTGAGACTGGACAATTTAT